AGAGTTTCTCTGTGTAACAGCCCTGGCTTTCCTGGAACTCTGTAGACCAGGCTGGCCTTGGACTCACAGAGATCCGCCTGCCTCTGCCTCCTGAGTGCTGGGATTAAAGGCGTGCTCCAGCACCAGGCAAACACCTCTTGTAATGTCATCTAAGCAATTCTCACTCTCCTGAGCTCTTAACTCTTCCTTGCCTCAACAGCATGGCTTACTTAAGTTCACATTTCAGTCCTGGTTTTGTCAAGGTGTGTGTGTGTGAGAGAGAGTGTTGTGGTGTGTGTGTGTGTGTGTGTGTGTGTGTGTGTGTGTGTGTGTGTGTGTTGGAAACAAGGCCTGGCCCCTCCCACCTCTTCAGCTGTGCAGCCTTCTGGAGTTTTGAAAAATTAAAAAATCAAGGCATGGAGTTTGAGTATGAAGTTTTCAGACTTCCTTTCTTCCGTCTTTTTTTCCCTCCCTCCTCCCTCCCTTTCTTCCTTCCTCAACACACACACACACACACACACACACACACACACACACACACACCTTGTGACAGATAGATAATGCTATCTTGATTCGAACATTGCAAAATGTATAACACACTGAAACATTACATGACATCTGAAAAATGTGTGCATTTTTTGTGTCAATTAATGAGCACCAATTTGAAAACTTCCTAGACCCCCTCCCTCTCTTAACTCTAATTCACTAAATTAGGGCAAAGTCTCTAAAGTTTGTCTTCGTAAGGTCTGTTCTCTTATACGTGCAAATGCAGACATGTGTTCCTTAGTCACAGAAGCCTCTAGTCATGGGACAGCAACGTCTATGCACATACAGTCAAAACAAGCCCAACCCAAAGAGAAGGGAGAGAGCCAGGAAGAAAAACTGCAGTGTGGCTTGGCTCTCAGGGCTGCTTTGGGTTCACTCAGTCTTCCCTCTTCTCCCAGCACCCTGGCCCTCTCCAGTCACAGGTTCGCCATGCCATGGCATCCTGGGGCTAAGTCAGATCAAGACTTTCACATTTCACATGTAGCTGTGTGAATATCTTCACGCTCACCTGTTGCCCAATGCTGAGCTCACACAGTGGGTCAGGAGAGCCCAGTTCCTGGAAGGTAGCAGTACTCTGCACGTGTAACTCAGTTCTCAGCTTGAATGACACACAGGTAAGCCAGTCAGGTTGGGAGTTAACACGAAGTGGTCCTGGTTGGTGGTTTGATTTCACAGTCCATGAACTGTGTCTTGCCCCACCCTGTTGTCCAGTGATCTTTATCTGGAAGGAGCAACACGGACAGTTGATAAGCTGCAGATGTGTTACATAGGACCCACATAGTGTTTTTTCTCTCTCTCTCTCTTTCTTAACATTTATACTGGGTGGTGGTGGTACACACCTTTAACCCCAGCACTTGGGAGGCAGAAGCAGGCAGATCTCTGTGAGTTCAAGGCCACCCTAGCCTGGTCTACAGAATGAGTTCCAGAATACCCAGGGCTGTTACACAAAGAAACCCTGTCTTGAAAAAACCAAACCAAACCAAACCAACCAACAAAAAACCCCAAACCAAACACATTTATTTAATATGTGAGTGCTCTATTTGCATGTATGACTTTATGCCAGAAGAGGGCATCAGATCACACTATAAATGGTTGTGAGCCACCATGTGGGCACTGGAAATTGAACTCAGGTCCTCTGGAAGAACTCTAACCACAGAGCCATCTCTCCAGCCTCCAGTGCTAGGATAACAGATGTACTGCCTGGCTGGCATAGTATTTTCTTAAATTATAGTTAACACTAATTTTTAAAAAATGTTTGTATGTGTCAGGCGGCAGTGGTGCACACCTTTAATTCCAGCACTTGGGAGGCAGAGACAGGGGGATCTCTGTGAGTTCGAGGCCAGCCTGGTCTACAGAGTGAGTTCCAGGACATCCAGGGCTACACAGAGAAACCTTAGATGGAAAAACAACACCCAAAACAAAAAGCAAGTATGTATGACATTTATGTATATATATATCTATAGTGTTCGTGTGTGTGTGTGTGTGTGTGTGTGTGTGTGTGTGTGTACATGCATGAGCACACTCGGGGGTGTGAGTGCCATGGTTCGAATGTGGAGGTCAGAGGACCTCCCAAATGGATGTGAGCATTGAACTCAGGTTGCCAGGCATGGCAGCAAGTGTCCTTACCTCCTGGGCCATCTCATAGACCTCTGTTGATTTTATATGTAATCAAAGACATGTATTTAGTTTAACATGTGAAGCCACACTAAGGGCCCAGAGAGCAGCCTTTTGTGTCATTTTCTGCCACTCAGCTCGCACAGGGTCTCACGCTTTTCACTCTTTGGCCTCTTTCCATCTCAGTTCACCCTCAGTGCCTCAGTAAGTCATGTTGTCATTTTCCAAGCTGGGGTTTCTATTGGTATGAGCTTTTTGTTTTCTGTCATTCTGCGAGCTGAGGACAATTTGAAAGTCCATTCAAGGCCAGCTTACCCCAGGACTTGTGAAGATGTGGCAACGTGGGGAAGCTTGGCTTTGTGGGTCTTGGGAAAATGTTCCATATTGAGTCCACTGCAAGTCCTCAGGAAAGCAAACTTTTGAGGGAGAGCGTGCGCGTGCGTGCGTATTTCTGTTTCAAGTAGAGCTTTCTCTCTTCTTCCCTACCCCCGAAAGGTTTTTGTTTTTATTTTTGCTGTTTAGTGTATTTTCCTACATAGAGTCTTAATTGCAGTTATCTACTTTAGCAGTGAGGGAGCCCCAAGGAAAAGAACTCATAGAATTTATTTAACAAATCAAAGTTACCAGATTGCTTACTTATAGAAGCTGGATTGTCCCTGTTATGATAATGTGTGTGGGGGACCTTGGCGCATTCTATGGCAGGTGAAGGTGACAGGCAGAGGTTAGTGAGAGGTTTTATTAGAAAGGGGAAGGAGGAGGAAGGAAGAGAGAAGAGGTAAAGACACACAGAGAGAGAGAGAGAGAGAGAGAGAGAGAGAGAGAGAGACAAACTGCTGCGGCGTCCACCCTTGACCAGCAAGAAAGACGCCACACCGAGGAATCTTCTTCAAACACAGTTTAATCGGGAACCTCTTTGCT